CAGCAGCAGCAGTAGTAATATATATTTTTTAAAAATCCACTCCACTCAGTCAGAAGCCTTTTCATCTTGTACAAGTATACATCTATTTCTTTTTGCCATTCTTGTAATTAAATACTTGTTCAATATAATCATAGAGTATATTGCATGGTAAGTCTGGTATATTCAGAGCCTTTCCATTTCTGAAGGAGGTCCGGCAATTTGGCAGCAACTTCAAGCAGCCTGACTTTTTTGAGGGCAATATGAGAGGGACATTGGAGGGAACAGAAGAGGAATTTCTACATAGAGATTATATATATTAAAGACAGAAAATAATGGGAATACATGTTCAAGAAAGTAACTAAACTGCATAATAATATAATTTTAAATAGTCAGTTTAAACCTATTTTCAATCTGGGCATTGTTTTGTCAAATTATTTGTCGAAATGGAGGGAGGCAAAATATTATACACCGTGGAAGAGTATAATGAGAATTTTTTTTTAAAAAAAAAACATAATTTAAAGCCTTTTCTAGATTGGTAAAAAACCCATGTTAAAAATTGCATTTACCTAGATCCGTTTGTTTATGAAAATTTTCCAGCTGAGATAAAATAATAAATACAGTGGTGCCTTGCTAGACAGTTACCCCGCATGACAGTTTTTTCGCTAGACATTGACTTTTTGTGATCGCTATAGCGATTTGCAAAACAGTGATTCCTATGGGGAATCACTGGACAATGTTTGGTCCCTGCTTCGCAAACCAATTTTCGCTAGACAATGATTTTGACAGCTCCCTCTGTGCTCACAAACCGGGTGTTTTTGGGACCTAAGCTTCGCAAGACAGCTATTTAAACAGCTGATCGGTGGTTCGCAAAGCGGCTTTCCTATGGCTGATCTTCGCTAGACAATGACGATTCTTCCCCATTGGAACACATTAAACAGGTTTCAATGCATTCCAATCGGGAAATGCTTTTCGCTAGACAATGATTTCGCTAAACAGCGATACCAGTGGAACGGATTATCATCGTCTAGCAAGGCACCACTGTAACTTCATGAAAAAAAGACAGAGCAAGCCAGAATAGTTTTAATAATATTAAACACCCAAAGAGGGACATTATGTTGAAATATTATAAAGTATTAATAATCAATAACATTACTGAATGTAATAAGATGACACATATGTAACATTCAACGTTTCTGAGAACAAAATAACTGTGGAAGTCCTTTTTCTCAATTGCCACGGGCATATTTTAGGAAGTTTTAATAACTCTAACAATAAGATTTAAAGATGCTTTTGTCCTGGCTGTAGAGAGACACTGAAAAAAATATTTTATCTCCCTTAACAATTTATTTATAATAATGATAGTTCTCATAACGTTTAAAAAGTGTGATAAAAATATATTAAAATCATAGTGCTTGAAGAGAGTCTAACTTTCTCCTGAAACAGAAAATCCACAACTAAAGCCTCCCTAAGAAATGGCCATGCAATGTCTGTTTAAGAATCTGGAGGCCATTCTCTTCCAAGGTAATCCACCGCATTGTCAAATGGCTCTTACTGATATGCAGTGAAAACCGCCTGTCTTGTAGATTGAATCCATAACTTCAGGTCTTACTCCCTTGAGCCAATTATTATAACATATAAACAGATTTATTTACAAAACTATTGTTATTATAATTATTTGTTTCAAATATTTATATCTCAATTCTTTGTCCATCAGGGTCTTGAAGCCTATGCCTGGATAAACAAATGTTTGAGCTGAAACCAAAATAATTGCATTGTTGTTGACAGAGACAACACTAACAATTTTCTCAAACTGGAATTCCATTGTTTGGCCAAAAATCTGTTTTAAAAAGCATATGAAGGCACTCCTGTTGTCTGGGCAGCTATTTAGGTCCTAAACCATTTAAGACTTTAAGTGTCTCATTTAATGTCTCACCTGTCTCATGAATTGGGCTTGGAAAGTGCTGTACTTCCTTCATAAGATGAAGGAGGATGGTGAAATATAATAATTCATTTATAAAATAATGCATTTCTGCAATATACTTTCTACAGTACAGTGTTGTGGCTTTGTCTGACACAAGCAGAAGGGGAAAAAACTCCAGCTATAATATGAGATCTCTCTGATGATACATTGCAATTATTTACTGGGTGAGGTCTTCTTAGCTAGGCTGAACTTTGTACTCCCTGACCTCATGGTCTGAGGGGGTGGGGTTTTGGCTTTAAATTAGTGCCAGTAGAAGTTCTAAGCCTCTTTCCTGAAGAGGAAGCTTGAGTAGGGAGCTGTGCTTGGGGAACATTTTACTGGG